AAATGTCATTCATATACATTTCAAGAATACAGTCATTTTGTAAAGAGAGTTCCACTTGTATTAAATGTCAGCTTTCGGCCTAAAAGATGCAGTGCAGTTCTAGTGATACATGGCTCACTCTCTTGTTCCTCAGCAGGGACTGTGGTAGGTTTTAAGGCAGAGACGGAAAATCAGCAGTTAGAAGCAACTCTATCCAAGATTTTCCCTGGGCATATTTACTGCTCATAAACTCACTCAAGGGTTCTACTTTGTAAGATTTTTTTTATGTGAAATAGAAAACATAGAGGGTTTCACTTCTGGGTTGTTACAGTCAAGCGTCAAGGCTGCTTTTGTCCTTTCAGAGACCATTTCCAGCTCACTCTTAACCTTCTGCTTGGAAAAAAGGAAAAAAGGCCATTTTTGTTTTTCCAATTGTGACCAAAGCCAAGTGCCTGATGTACATTGAGGCCAAACATATCGGAGTTTGGAGCAGAAAAAGGTTTACTGCAGGCCAAGCAAAGAGAATGGGGGGGCTCGTGTTAAATAAAAAAAAAAATACCCAAACTCCCCGCTGGGTTTCAGGGAAGAGTTTTTAGTCAAAATTTGAGGTGAGGGCACAGGGTGTGACTTTCTTCTGATTGGTTGGTGGTGAGGTAATAGGGCGGGGCTTCAGGAATCTTGAGCTCAGCCTGAAGTTACCATCCTCCACCTGCTTGGGGACCTTAGTTCCTGTAGAACTCAGAGATGTACCAGATTGTTACGTGTATCTCTTCAAAAGGAACCACGACCCTGCCCCTTCTCTGCACTGTTGTTTCTTTACTGCTTTTTCTTTCTTCCCATTCCCTCACTTCCCTAATTAGTAACATTGAATCTGCCCTCTGGAACTCAGGGAAAGTCTAGGAGGCTGAAGCCTTTTCCTACAAACAAGAAGCGGGACAGGAAAGGCTTTTGTTGTGTACCCCACAGGTCCTGCTTGTTGCACAATTTAGAGTAATAAATGCATCTACTTTAAAGACTCAGTTATAATTGGTACTAACAGAACATTTCACATATTACATTTTGCAGTGACGTTTTAATCTTTTTGGAAAACAGCAAGACCCAGCTGTGGTTAAATCAGAATCTGGGAACAACACCTAACAGGTGGCCTTTCATTTTTAAGGTGGAGACAATTACCTCCGTATCATCCACCATCACATCTTCCCTCATATAAGTTACATGCTTCTTCAGGATTTCCTAGGCAACTTTAAATTTACAAACTTAGAGCATAAAAAAGGGACAGGAAGACCCAGATCTGTTGGTCAAATAGTTTTCCTTGGAAACTCTGTACACATTTCTCTATATACTAGGCTCAAACATCATTAAGAGAACATGAGTGTGGACAAAAAAACATTACCTACCATTTCAGTAAACAAAGAATGTTGCCTGCCCTCCAGCCAGTAGCCACGGTGCCACCCATACCAGTGCGCCCTGAGGGGAATTCAGGATGGAGAAAAACAGGATACTGGCCCTAGATAATTAAGATATATATCAGAGGAATAATTTCAATGAGCCCAGACTCTTGCATCTCCCCATACACAGAAAAGCACTAAAATCACTGAGATCTTTTTTTGTGTGTGTGATTAGCAGTAATCTTTTGATGTCTGACTACATTTTTGTTTCTTCAGCAAAAACTCCTATATATCCTGGCCCCTCCCTTACCTCTTTGGAACAGTCCCTCAGAGCTATCTGAGAGGCTGTTGCCTGGGCTGTAGCCCTCAGTAAGGTCCCCAAATAAATATATTAATATCTCACAACTTTTAGGCTGTGTGGGGTTTTTTTTCTGTTGAAGTGACAAACCAAGAATTGCAGGAGGAAGCAAGCTATCTCGATTGCCCGTGAGTTCTGCCATGGATGCACAAAGTAAATGACTTGGATGGAATCACTGATTTTTCTCACTTATACAAATGGGATTGTTAACCTCTCGTAATTATTGTTGGGCACACAAGTCCTCCACAAACACCTGGTTTACCTTATTGCTAACATTTCCATTATTCATTTTATTTTCAAGGTGTTTTTTTTTAAATACTCGTAAAGACTAACAACTATATAGTTTCAGTTGCTCAACCAGTTTTGCTGCCTTGAAAAGTATCGTGGAAGAGGTAAGGTCTCAACTCTTTCTCCAATTTCCTTCTTTCTTTCTCTTTTTTTCCTCCAATTTCTTCTCATCAAAATTCTTTCTGATATTCAACATGAGGCTGTACCTCACACTTTTATTTTAGAAGGCAGCATTCCTTATCATTCTATTTCTCCCTTATATATTAATAATCCTGTTTCTCCCTTATGTATTAATAGTTTTATTTCTCTCAGGCATTAACATTTTATTTAGATAGGAGAATCCCTTTTTCAGTTGTTTAAGCTTGATAATACAGCTTATCCAGATGTATTACTTACCACGCTAGGCTTATACATTATTCATATTCTTTAAGAATGCCAAAGGCCATCTAGTCCTTGTTACAAATATAACATTTCTTGAAAAAAATTAGGAAAAATTATATCCATATTTTAAAGATGCTTTAGAAAGGAAAAGGACTTAGCACTTAATCCTACATATTTCAGTAAAATCCAAAACTCCTTGCTTCATGCCATATGTTTCACTTGCAGCATTTTAAATAGGCTGCTAGCCAGGGTTTAAAGAATGAACCAAAAACACATTCACACAGCATGCGTCACAAGTAGTATTTATGTTAAAGTATATGCACCAAGACATATACTACCAAATGTCAAATAGATAGCTAGTGGGAAGCAGCCGCATAGCACAGGGAGATCAGCTCGGTGCTTTGTGACCACTTAGAGGGGTGGGATAGGGAGGCTGGGAGGGAGACGCAAGAGGGAAGAGATATGGGGACATATGTATATGTATAGCTGATTCACTTTGTTATAAAGCAGAAACTAACACACCATTGTAAAGCAATTATACTCCAATAAAGATGTTTAAAAAAATTAAAAAATAAAAGTATATGCACCAAGCCCTAGTTCATATCGAAAGGCAGGACACACACGCACGCGCACACGCACTCTCTCTCTCTTTCTCTCTACATAAAGGGAAGCACCTTTGTGTTAAGAGTGTCCTCCCATAATTCTTAGCAACATAATGCATCCTTGAATGAAACATCAACAGAGAATTTCCAAATAGTAAGGACTCTTGGTCTGTGATTAAATAATGGCATTCACAACTCAAACTTGCGGTGTTTTAATTACTTTAACACATAAATTCCCTAGTGTGCTAGATTTACTTGGTTATTCTAAATGTCCGAATTAGTCTGTAACATACCACAACTATTTAAATCACATATGACCAATAGTTAGGATTTTTAAAAACCTATTGCCCTACAGAACCATACCTCCTTGCTGCATGATGCTCAGGGCTTACCTTTCACATATGCCCTATCTCTGTCATGCTTTTCACATAGTACAATGTGCACTATGGAAGTCACATTAAAGAAACAAGTGGAAAAAAAAAACTCATTGAAAACACTTTATTATAAAAGTGTGCTTTATTATAAGGAAATTTTAAATATAACCAACAATACTGAAAATAATGTAACTGGCATTTACAGCCTTGGTCAGAGTTCTTTATTAAACAGGCATTTGTAGTTAACAATCAGCTTATGCAACAAAACAGGTAACCTGAAAAAGTGAATAAAATTGAGAATACAGAATGATGAACGAGGAATTTGGGGTTCTTTGTGTTTTTTGTTTAGCAGACATGGCTTTTAAAATCTGAAATAGAAAACAAGTCCTCTTCATGTAGTAAGCTCTCTTCCTGCGGGAAAGTTTGCAAAATTGTTAAAACTGTTCTAAAATGTGGCTGAAGGTATACTTTACATACTTCTTATATATACATATCTGATTAACATATTTTAACCACGTTTTCATTATACAAGCAAGACCATAAACATTCTCTAGTAAGACCACACTAGCCACAGAATCTTTTTACCCATGTATATATTTCTTTGAAACATGTTTCCCAAAATGAAATTGCTCATTTAAAAGGGAACAACTGGTTAGAATTAATCTCTCTAGACGTTGGGGTCATGTAGGCCTAGAAATCTTGTAAGAATATATTCCTTTGGTTGAACATAATTAAATTCATTTTATGTAGCAGAATAATCATGTCAATTGTCAACAAAAATCTATTCAGTTGAGTTCATTCTGCACTTTTGAGAGTCTACATTAAAGCAAGTGGCAAGGCCTAATGGTATATATGGAATGGACAGAAATTCCTTTTATGTTTATATATGTTTTACTTATAAAGATTTATTTCTCCCACCTTGGAGGAAACCCCTGGGAGCAGATGTCTGAAAAGGATTGTATTATGTACATCTAGTGAAGAACACAGAGCTATCTTAAGGGCATGTTGATAAGGACCCCAAATATTTTTGGTATAGGAGACTTTTTTTTTTAGCATATATAAGATCTTAGGCTTTCAGAAGACAACACATAAGTTAAAAGAGCATTTAAAAATATTTGTGACAGGGATTCCCTGGTGGTGCAGTGGTTGAGAGTCTACCTGCCGATGCAGGGGACACAGGTTCGTGCCCTGGTCTGGGAAGATCCCACATGCCGCGGAGCAGCTGGGCCCGTGAGCCATGGCCGTTGAGCCTGCACGTCCGGAGCCTGTGCTCCGCAACGGGAGAGGCCACAACAGTGAGAGGCCCGCATACCGCAAAAAAAAAAAAAAAAAAAAAAATTTGTGACATTAAACGTCAAACTCAAATTTTTAAAGAAAACAAATACAGAGAACTGCAAAACGGAAAAAGGAAGCATAGATAGATGCTTTATGAGAAAAATAATGACCTTTCACCTAAAAAGAGTCTTCCCTATTATTGTAATGATTAAACTGCCTGTCCTTAAAACCACTGGAATATGTAGGTTACTGACATTATGCCAAAGAAGTCAAAAGGTACTTTATTGCAAAAATAGAAAAGGTCTTAAAATTGCATATGATGTTTTATACCATTTCACCAATAGGCCAAGGCCAGTACATAACTTACCAAGCCAGAAAAACTTGAAAACAAACATTACTAAATTGTACGTACTATATATAGTGAGTTGTAAAAAGAATGTGATGCCATGCTGTATAGCATGATTCACTGCCAAGTTCCCTCTTACATGGGCGTAGTCATAACATATCAATCTGAGTGAGTCAAAATGAACACACATTGCCTATGACAACATCCTTTAATTATCTTCTTAAACACAGATACTTTCAGTATATTATAATCATCTGAATAAACCTTTCAGTCAAATCATAATTTTGTGGAGTAGAAAGTCATTTTATCAGTATGTCGATATTGTTTTGATCTACTCTTTTAGAAAGTGATGTTAAAGCCTATTGACTATTGAATCACTACTCTGTTTACTGATACACTGTAAATGTAAAAAAAGGAAAAAACCTGAAATCACAGAAAATGCTTGGCATCTACACAAACACATTCTCAGTGGACTAACCACTACTGTGTAATTTTGTCACTATAGGTCTTCTTGCTCCATACTTTTGCTTCATGCAGTGGGTTCAACAATATCCATGTTTGTTCCAAACAGGGCAACTAATTGTTCTTCATAGGTAGCGATGTTCCTTTTCATAATCTCCATGCAAGGTCCCAAAAGCCTTTCAAATGCTTGCACATCCATGGCTAAGAAGAGGGGAGAATAAAAGAAAAATAACATTCTTTGCAAATCTGCAGAATTTCTAAGTCATTTATGGTATCTATTCCGCATATGTCAATGACGCAATGGCATTTTTAGATAAATATCAGATACAAGAAGAAGGCATAAAGATAAAAACATTCCACTTCGGAAAGGAAGCAGCCAGTGTTCCTTGGCAATATGATGTCCTATTGGTGGTTCCTGATCCAGGTTAAAAGAATGAGGGACTCTTATGTCAAGACCTTGGAATTTTAAAAATAAACTAGTTTTGATGTCACCACCTTAGTAATATGAACTCAAGGGCAGCAAGGGAGTGCTTTCCATCTCGTTTTCCCTTCTCAGGGTTTACGATGCTACGTTGTGAAGAATCCAAATGTTACCTTTTATGATTTTTATTCTTTTACACTATGGTCAATTCAAAACGGCAGCCAAAATAATGATTTTAGCCACTGTGTAAGTATGTGCTCTATGTCGCTTAGCTTGCCTATCTCGAGCATTTTCTAAAACTGAATTTATAATATACACATGAAAATATGATCACACTATCATACAAATACAAATTAAAGTACTTTATTTTTTGCCTCTCAAATTTGCAGAAGTAAAAAAGGCAATGTTGACAATAGAGTGAACAAACGTTGTTGTACTGCTGGTACATGTAAATAAGTACAAATAAAAGTGATCTGGCAATATTTATCAAAAACGATAAAAAGAAAACCCACTTCCAAAAAGCATTTCTCAGGAAAAGTCCTATATGTGGAAAAGTAGTCTCTGCATACACCCACACAAAAAAGCTCTCCCCGACCCCCCAAAATGGAGCCAAAACTCCCCAAATTATTTAACAGTGGGGAATGATTAAATCATTCATAATGTGTATATTTACCTAATGTTACAGTCTGATGTAATAAATATGAGAAAATGCCTAAGCTATAACGGATGAAAAAAGCAGTTTACAAAACTGTTTTAAAACAGAAAACCCATACAAATAAAAAAGATGAGAAGGAATTATAGAATTATAATAGGACGTGGAAATTGCTGGGTGGTGGCGGTATTGGGTGACTCTTACTTTTTCCTACCTTTTCTGTATTTCTCAAATTTAATGTGAATATAATAATTTATTATAGAAAAAAATTAATGGGATTTCACTCACATCGCCTTTACTCCTACTGTCTAATACCTCTACTCAGGGAAATTACCTGTCAGCTTCTAATTGTCTTCTTTTTCATCCAAGTATAACCCTTGATTAATATTATATTATTTAAAACCTTTGAACAAGTCAATTCTCTAAGAAAATTCTGAGGATATTTGCAAATCTTAAGAACATCGAAGCTAAATTTATGCTACTGAACTGTGGATGAAGAGCACAGAGTGGCTAATTACTTCTGAATCATTTCCTTGAAGAAAATGTCACCTAGGGACTTCCCTGGTGGTTCAGTGGTAAAGAATCCGCCTTACAATGCAGGGAATGCAGGTTCCATCCCTGGTCAGGGACCTAAGATCCCACAAGCCGCGGGGCAACTAAGCCCGCACACCACAGCTACTGAGCTCACGCGCCTCAACTAGAGCCCCCGTGCTGCAGACTACAGAGCCCACACGCTCTGGAACCCATGCGCCACAACCAGAGAAGAGAAAACCCACACGCCACAACTAGAGAGACGCCCGCGCGTCGCAACGAAAGATCCCGTGTGCCGCAATGAAGAACCCATGCACCACAACTAAGACCCGACACAGCCAAAAACAAATAAAAATAAATAATAAAAATAAATCTTTTAAAAAAGAGAGAAAATGTCACCTGTACTGATATCTCCTGAACTATATTTTTCATTATTAAACTAAGTTATGTCTCATATATAAAATCTCAGCTATATATAGATGTCTTCCAGCTGAAGATGGCATTTCTGCTGAGCTGCTGTGTGGTACACAGAAGTAATAAACAGCTGAACAAGATTTTATTGTGCTCCGACAAGCTTGAACCTTTGATTCCTAGTACAAGACGAGTAAGTATTCTTACAGACATTCCAGCTTGCCCTTCAAAGCTTAGTGTACCTTATAAAAATGCTGTTTGAGCCTTCCTTTTTTGAGGAACACAGTGTATGTTGTTTATTTAAAAAATTCGATATAAAACTTGGTACTCAGGATTCTTATTTTAACGACATACTAAAATGTTATTTCATGCCTATAAAAAAGAACACAAAATTATAAGTGTGTGAAAAATTTTAAAGGAAAAATGTTGGCTTCTACAAATCGACTTTATAATGCAATGAATCCTAACCTTGTTGTATTTTGTGGGGACCATAAAACTTGTGAACCCAGTAAGATAATCTGTACAACATGAATACGTACAATGCAGACAGAATGATTTCAACCAGGGTAAGCATGCCCAGGGCTGCGTGAGTCCTACCTAAACATTTGACGGTCCCGATGGCGTGTGCGGAAGCAGCTCGGGGCTTGTTAGTTACCAGAGCAAGTTCTCCAAAGTACTGTCCCCGAGAGCACCGAGCGATTTCTACTGCACCGTTCTCCTCCGCCTCTGACTTACCCTGACAAGGTGATGGAAAGTATTAACTTTGACTCAGCTTAAGAAAAGTAAAAGTTAACCTTAGTCTAAACATCAGAAGGAAAATCTATTATGTTTCTTGCTCATATTTCATGGATTTTTAGGACTTACCTTCCTTTTCATGGTAATTTTCACTTCTCCAGATTCTACAATGAAAAAAGAATCAGCCAAGTCTCCCTATCAGAAAAAAACAAAAACTGAGGGTGAAAATGCAAGTTTAGCTGACGGCAATCCCGGCGCCCGTCACACCCCTGAAATCAATCCCACCATGATTTGCCTGAAAGGTGAAACCCCACAGGAGCAGGCTATGTCCCCTTCTAAGTTGAGACGTTAAGATCGACAATTACATTGTAACAACTTCGTTTGTAAAAAATTATCTGAAATGATATACTATCTAGCACGGTATTTCTGCTAAAACTAGCCAAGAAAATATGGCCAACAACACTGAGGTAAGAATTTTGCCTGAACTGCAGCCTGGATAAAGCACATACATAGTTAGAAATGCTAGCACCGTTTCCCAGCAGCATTGCCTCTGTCAGCTGCTCCCATGCTAAAATGTGCCACTCTGTGGGTCCTAATCTACAAGCATCAGCATGGCGACCCAAGATAACCCAGCGACTCCCAAACAGAAGGAAGCAAGCAGACTGCTTAGGGAGCAGTATGTGTGGGCCCAGATGTTTGTCCTGCATCTGGCTGGGGACCAAGCTCTAGATGCCAGTTTACCGACAAGCCACCTCAAGGCCCCAAAAAGATTTCTAAAAGGAAGTGTTGCCATTTCTAACTACACATAGCCATATTCTCGTTTTGGATTTTAAACAAACTGCCTTGACTTCCAAGGATGCCTTCTGAACTAAGTACAGTAGTATAATTACAGAAGATCGCAGATACTGACCTCCCTAAGCCTCTCAAAGTGATTCTGGAGAAACTGAGGTATTTCAAAACTCTTTAGTACAATTCAAGAAATACGGTATCAGATTATATCACAAGGAATGTTGAGTCTCGATTATATTATACTATAGTGCAGACCTGTATGTTTACAAATGCTTAAAAGACAACTAGTATCTAAAGATACCTTTAATAAATTCTAAGTATAGTATACATATCTCCTTTCCCTTACCTTTATATCAGGTTTTCGTAAGAGCTTCATGTTAAATTTTCAAGTATCTTAAATCATAATAGGTCTATCGACAGCCATGTAATTTTGCTTTCAAAACGTGCTCAAACTGCATGTAAAACTAATGAATTAAGTCCTGTAGGTTGTGCCAATGTCACGTTCCTAGGTTTGATATTGCACTAGCGATGCAAGATGCACTGGGAGAAACTGGGTGAAGAGTTCGTGGGACTTTTTGCAGCTTCCTGTGAACCTGTAATTATTTCAAAGTAATCTGAAAAAATCATTTCAAAAGTGCTCTATACTTTGCGGTTTTTCAATTTATATCGTAGACCCTCAGCCTTGTTCTCTAATTTGTCTCTATGTCGTCCCAATCTCTGACTGCGCTAATCTGTATGTATGTGGGAAGTGTGGGAGGATTGATTGATTTACTTGTTTATTTGCCTTCTAAAATAATTACTCTTGAGAGACCTTCAAGATGGCAGAGGAGTAAGACGTGCAGATCACCTTCCTCCCCACAAATACATCAGAAATACATCTACATGTGGAACAACTCCTACAGAACCCCTACTGAACGCTGGCAGAAGACCTCAGACTTGCCCAAAGGCAAGAAACTCCCCCTGGTACCTGGGTCAGGCAAAAGAAAACAGAAAAAACAGAGACAAAAGAATAGGGACGGGACCTGCACCAGTGGGAGGGAGCTGTGAAGGAGGAAAGGTTTCCACACACTAAGAAGCCCCTTCACTGGCAGAGACGGGGGGGGTGGGTGGGGGGAAGCTTCGGAGCTACGGAGGAGAGCACAGCAACGGGTGCGGAGGGTAAAGCGGAGAGATTCCCACACAGAGGATTGGTGCCGACCGGCACTCACCAGCCCGAGAGGCTTGTCTGCTCACCCGCTGGGCCGGGCGGGGCTGGGAGCTGAGGCTCGGGCTTTGGTCAGACCCAGGGAGAGGACTGGGGTTGATGGCATGAACACAGCCTTATTAAGGGGGCTAGTGCGCCACGGCTAGCCAGGAGGGAGTCCGGGGAAAAGTCTGGAGCTGCCAAAGAGGCAAGAGACCATTGTTTCAGGGTGTGTGAGGAGAGGGGATTCAGAGCACCGCCTGAACGAGCGAGCCCCAGACACGGGCGCGAGCCGGGGCTAAAAGCGCGGACCCCAGAGATGGGCATGAGACGCTAAGGCTCCTGCTGCCGCCACCAAGAAGCCTGTGTGTGAGCACAGGTCACTATCCACACCCCCCTTCCGGGAGCCTGTGCAGCCTGCCACTGCCAGGGTCCCGGGATCCAGGGACAACTTCCCCGGGAGAACGCATGGTGCGCCTCAGGCTGGTGCAACGTCACGCTGGCCTCTGCCGCCGCAGGCTCGCCGTGCGCTCCATACCCCTCCCTCCCCCGGCCTGAGTGAGCCAGAGCCACCGAATCAGCTGCTCCTTTAACCCCATCCTGTCTGAACGGGAGCAGACGCCCTCCGGCGACCTACACGCAGAGGAGGGGCCAAATCCAAAGCTGAACCCCAGGAGCTGTGCGAACAAAGAAGAGAAAGGGAAATCTCTCCCAGCAGCCTCAGAAGCAGCGGATTAAAGCTCCACAATCAACTTGATGTACCCTGCATCTGTGGAATACATGAATAGACAACGAATCATCCCAAATTGAGGAGGTGGACTTTGGGAGCAACTGTAGACGTGGGGTTTGCTTTCTGCATCTAATTTGCTTCTGGTTTTACGTTTATCGCAGTTTAGTATTTAGAGTTTATTATCACTGGTAGAGTTGTTTATTGATTTGGTTGTTCTCTTTCCTTTTTTTTTATAATATATAGGTATATATATTTTTTCCCTTTTTCTCCTTTTGTGAGCATGTATGTGTATGCTTCTTTGTGTGATTTTGTCTGTATAGCTTTGCTTTTACCCTTTCTCCTAGGGTTCTGGCTGTCCCTTTTTTTTTTTTTTGGTATAGTTTTTATTTAGGGCTTGATATCATTGGTAGATTTTTTTTTGGTTTGGTTGCTTTCTTTCCTTTTTCTTTTCTTTATTACTTTTTAATTTTTTTATTCTTAATATTTGTTTTTACTTTCTACTTTAACAACTTTATTTTATTATTATTTTTTCTTTATTCCTTTCTTTATTTCTCCCTTTTCTTCTGAGCCGTGTGGCTGACAGGGTCTTAGTGCTCCGGCTGGGTGTCAGGCCTGTGCCTCTGAGATGGGAGAGCCGAGTTCAGGGCATTGGTCCACCATAGACCTCCCAGCTCCACGTAATATCAAGTGGCAAAAGCTCTCCCAGAGATCTCCATCTCAACATTAAGACCCAGCTCCACTCAACAACCAGCAAGATGCAGTACTGGACACCCTAAGCCAAACAACGAGCAAGACAGGAAAACAACCCCACCCATTAGCAGAGAGGCTGCCTAAAATCATAATAAGGTCACAGACACCCCAAAACACACCACCAGACGTGGTCCTGCCCACCAGAAAGACAAGATCCAGCCTCATCCACCAGAAGAAAGGGACCACTCCCCTCCACCAGGAAGACTACACAACCCACTGAACCAACCTTAGCCACTGGGAGCAGACACCAAAAACAACAGGAACTACGAACGTGCAGCCTGCGAAAAGGAGACCTCAAACACAGTAAGTTAAGCAAAATGAGAAGAAAGAGAAAAACGCAGCAGATGAAGGAGCAAAGTAAAAACCCACCAGACCAAACAAATGAAGAGGAAATAGACAGTCTACCTGAAAAAGAACTCAGAGTAATGATAGTAAAGATGATCCAAAATCTTGGAAATAGAATGGAGAAAATACAAGAAACGTTTAACAAGGACCTAGAAGAACTAAAGAGCAAACAAGCAATGATGAACAACACAATAAATGAAATTAAAAATTCTCTAGGAGGGATCAACAGCAGAATAACTGAGGCAGAAGAACGGATAAGTGACCTGAAAGATAAAATAGTGCAAATAACTACCACAGAGCAGAATGAAGAAAAAAGAATGAAAAATATTGAGGACAGTCTCAGAGACGTCTGGGACAACATTAAATGCACCAACGTTCGAATTATAGGGGTCCCAGAAAAAGAAGACAAAAACAAAGGGACTGAGAAAATATTAGAAGAGATTATACTTGAAAACTTCCCGAATATGGGAAAGGAAATAGTCAATCAAGTCCAGGAAGCACAGAGAGTCCCATACAGGATAAATCCAAGGATGAACACGCCAAGACACATATTAATCAAACTGCCAAAAATTAAATACAAAGAAAAAATATTAAAAGCAGCAAGGGAAAAACAACAAATAACATACAATGGGATCCCCATAAGGTTAACAGCTGATCTTTCAGCACAAACTCTGCAAGCCAGAAGGGAGTGACAGGACATATTTAAAGTGACGAAAGGGAAAAACCTACAACCAAGATTACTCTACCCAGCAAGGATCTCATTCAGATTCGACAGAGAAATTAAAACCTGTGCAGACAAGCAAAAGCTGAGATTTCAGCACCACCAAACCAGCTTTACAACAAGTGCTAAAGGAACTTCTCTAGGCAGGAAACACAAGAGAAGGAAAAGACCTACAATAACAAACCCAAAACAATTAAGAAAATGGTAATAGGAACATACATATCGATAACTACCTTAAATGTAAATGGATTAAATGCTCCAACCAAAAGACACAGACTGGCTGAATGCATAGAAAAACAAGACCTGTATATATGCTGTCTACAAGAGACCCACGGCAGACCTAGGGACACATACAGACTGAAAGTGAGGGGACGGAAGAGATATTCCATGAAAGTGTAAATCAAAAGAAAGCTGGACGAGCAATTCTCATATCAGACAAAATAGACTTTAAAGACTATTACAAGAGACAAAGAAGGACACTACATAATGATCAAGGGATCAATCCAAGAAGAAGATATAACAATTACAAATATTTATGCACCCAACATAGGAGCACCTCAATACATAAGGCAAAAGCTAACAGCCATAAAAGGGGAAATCGACAGTAAAACAATCATAGTAGGGGACTTTAACACCCCACTTTCACCAATGAACAGATCATACAAAATGAAAATAAATAAGGAAACACAAGCTTTAAATGACACATTAGACAAGATGGACTTAAATGACATTTATAGGACATTCCATCCAAAAACAACAGAATATATTTTCTATTCAAGTGCTTACGGAACATTCTCCAGGACAGATCATATCTTGGGTCACAAATCAATCCTTGGTAAATTTAAGAAAATTGAAACCGTATAAAGTATCTTATCCGACCACAATGCTATGAGACTAGAGATGTCAATTACATGAAAAAAATCTGTAAAAAGTACAAACACATGGAGGCTAAACAATATACTACTTAATAACCAAGAGATCACTGAAGAAATCAAAAAATACCTAGAAACAAATAACAATGAAAACACGATGACCCAAAACCTATGGGATGCAGCAAAAGCAGTTCTAAGAGGGAAGTTTATAGCAATACAATCCTACCTCAAGAAACATCTCAAATAAACAACCTAAACTTACACCTAAAGCAATTAGAGAAAGACGAACAAACCCCCCAAAGTTAGCAGAAGGAAAGAAATCATAAAGATCGGATCAGAAGTAAATGTAAAAGAAATAAAGGAAACGATAGCAAAGATCAATAAAACTAAAAGCTGGTTCTTTGAGAAGATAAACAAAATTGATAAACCATTAGTCAGACTCATCTTTAAACAAAAGGGAGAAGACTCAAATCAACAGAATTAGAAATCAAAAAGGAGAAGTAACAGCTGACACTGCAGAAATACAAAGGATCCCGAGAGATTACTGCAAGCAACTATATGCCAATAAAATGGACAACCTGGAAGAAATGGACAAATTCTTAGAAATGCACAACCTTCCGAGACTGAATCAGGAAGAAATAGAAAATATAAACAGACCAATCAGAAGCACTGAAATTGAGACTGTGATTAAAAATCTTCCAACAAACAAAAGCCCAGGACCAGACGGCTTCACAGGCAAATTCTATCAAACATTTACAGAAGAGCTAACACCTATCCTTCTCAAACTCTTCCAAAATATAGCAGAGGGAGGAACACTCCCAAACTCATTCTACGAGGCCACCATCACCCTGATACCAAAACCAGACAAAGATGTCACAAAGGAAGAAAACTACAGGCCAATATCACTGATGAACATAGATGCAAAAATCCTCAACAAAATACTAGCAAACAGAAACCAACAGCACGTCAAAAAGATCACACACCATGATCAAGTGCAGCTTATCCCAGGAATGCAAGGATTCTTCAATATATGCAAATCAATCAATGTGATAAAACATATTAACAAATTGAAGGAGGAAAACCACATGATCATCTCAATAGATGCAGAAAAAGCTTTCGACAAAATTCAACACCCATTTATGATAAAAACCCTCCAGAAAGTGGCTTAGAGGGAACTTACCTCAACACAATAAAGGCCATATATGACAAACCCACAGCCAACATCGTTCTCAATGGTAAAAAACTGAAAGCATTTCCTCTAAGATCAGGAACAAGACAAAGTTGTTCACTCTCACCATTATTATTCGACATAGTTTTGGAAGCTTTAGCCACAGCAATCAGAGATGAAAAAGAAATAAAAGGAATCCAAATTGGAAAAGAAGAAGTAAAGCTGTCACTGTTTGCAGGTGACATGATACTATACACAGAGAATCCTAAAGAGGCTACCAGAAAACTTCTAGAGCTAATCAATGAATTTGGTAAAGTAGCAGGATACAAAATTAATGCAAAGAAATCTCTTGCATTCCTATACACAAATGATGAAAAATCTGAAAGAGAAATTAAGGAAACACTCCCATTTACCACTGCAGCAAAAAGAATAAAATACCTAGGAATAAACCTACCTAAGGAGACAAAAGACCTGTATGCAGAACACTATAAGACACTGATGAAAGAAATTAAAGATGATACAAACAGATGGAGACATATACCATGTTCTTGGATTGGAAGAATCAACACTGTGAAAGTGACTATATTACCCAAAGCAATCTACAGATTCAACGCAATCCCTATCAAACTACCAATGGCATTTTTCACAAAACTAGAACAAAAAACTTCACAATTTGTATGGAAACACAAAAGATCCTGAATAGCCAAAGCAGTCTTGAGAAAGAAAAACGCAGCTGGAGGAATCAGGCTCCCTGACTTCAGACTATACTACAAAGCTACAGTAATGAAGGCTGTGTGGTCCTGGCACAAAAAACAAATATAGATCAGTGGAACAGGACAGAAAGCCCAGAGATAAACCCACACACATATGGTCACCTTATCTTTGATAAAGGAGGCAAGAATATACAATGGAGAAAAGACAGCCTCTTCAATAAGTGGTGCTGGGAAAACTGGACAGCTACATGTAAAAGAATGAAATTAGAACACTCCTAACACCATACACAAAAATAAACTCAAAATGGATTAAAGACCTAAATTAAGGCCAGACACTATAAAACTCTTAGGGGAAAACATAGGCAGAAGATCCTATGACATAAATCACAGCAAGATCCTTTTAGACCCACCTCCTAGACAAATGGAAATAAAAACAAAAATAAACAAATGGGACCTAATGAAACTTAAAAGTTTTTGCACAGCAAAGGAAACCATAAACAAGAGGAAAAGACAACCCTCAGAATGGGAGAAAATAGGTGCAAATGAAGCAACTGACAAAGGATTAATCTCCAAAACTTACAAGCAGCTCATGCAGCTCAACATCAAAAAACAAACAACCGAATCCAAAAATGGGCAGAAGACCTAAACAGATATTTATCCAAAGATGATATACAGATTGCCAACAAAGTCTTGAAAGGATGCTCAACATCACTAATCATTAGAGAAATGCAAATCAAAACTACAATGAGGTATCACCTCACACCAGTCAGAATGGCCATCATCAAAAAATGTAAAAACAATGCTAGAGAGGGTGTGGAAAAAAGGGAACCCTCCTGCACTGTTGGTGGGAATGTAAATTGATACAGCCACTATGGAGAACAGTATGGAGGTTCTTTAAAAAACTAAAAATAGACCTACCATACGACCCCGCAATCCCACTCCTGGGCACATACCTTGATAAAACCATAATTCAAAGAGAGTCATGTACCACAATATTCATTGCAACTCTATTTACAATAGCCAGGACATGGAAGCAACCTATGTGTCCATCGACAGATGAATGGATAAAGAAGATGTGGCACATATAGACAACGGAATATTACTCAGCCATAAAAAGGAATGAAATTGAGTTATTTGTAGTGAGGTGGATGGACCTGAAGTCTGTCATACAGAGTGAAGTACGTCAGAAAGAGAAAAACAAATACCGTATGCTAACACATGTATATGGCATCTAAAAAAAAAAAAGGTTCTGACGAACCTAGGGGCAGGACAGGAATAAAGAGGCAGACGTAGAGAATGGACTTGAGGACACAGGGAGGGGGAAGGGTAAGCTGGGACAAAGTGAGAGAGTGGCATGGACATATATACACTACCAAACGTAAAATAGATAGCTAGTGGGAAGCAGCCGCATAGCACAGGGAGATCAGCTCGGTGCTTTGTGACCACCCAGAGGGGTGGGATAGGGAGGGTGGAAGGGAGACACAAGAGAGAGGAGATATGGGGTTATATATATAGCCGACTCACTTTGTAATAAAGCAGAAACTAACACACCATTGTAAAGCAATTATACTCCAATAAAGATGTTAAAAAATAATAATATAAAATAAAATAATTACTCTTTTCTCAGCCTCACACACTTTGAATCTTGTTTCACATATATCGAAAGAGACAATATTTCAGATAAAGATTACAATACAGGGTAATATTGTGATACAAAAATTACAGAATTTATTAAAAATCTGTTTAAATCATGCAATCAATGTTTCAAAACTGTAACTAGGAAATAAGGTACTATCGTTGGTATGCTTTATCTGTAAACTTTAACTGTCTTCATAAATCCTACTTCTTGGTAGGTCTGTTCTAACCAAGATACGTATGTATTGCTTCTGGTTCCAATGGGATCTTAGAAAAGCATTAGAGGTTAAAGAGCATGCTGGCCCCCTTAGTGCCTGTAGCGCCTGGAAGCCAGTACAGTACATGGTGCAGCGTGTTCCCTTCTTGGTTTATTTCATCAGGAAGCAGCCTCAGGAAGTTTTGCCAATGAACCGATTGTGCAAACTTCTACATCTTCCGATGCACATTCTGGGTCCTTATTAATAAATCTCATGGAGTGATTACCATTTGTTTTCCTCTTATAAATGGCATTCTTTATACATGTGACCTTCATGTCAGGTACAAATATAAAATTATGCAGAAATCCATTTGATGATTTAATACATATTCATTAAGAGTTAGTTACAAAAATAAAAATACTCAAAATAGCTTCATGGCTGTAAATTAAACCATTTTTAACAGGTCATTTGATAGAATATTCATTTAACCCATCACTACATACTAATTATAGACACACATGAAAATTTTATCAAGACTTACAGTGTATAAGAGTCTTTTGGAAAATAACCCCAAACTGAATCCATAAAAAGTATTATACCTGAGCAATGATTTGTTCTCCATCGTTGTATACTTTGGTGCCTATCACATCTACCACTTTCAGGCGCTCAGAAACCTATAAAGGAAAAAAAGATAATACCCTTGATAATACTGTATTTGTATTTAATAATATAATTACTCTTGTATTTGATAATATAAATGGGTTTGAACCGTGCAGGTCCACTTATATGCAGATTTTTTTCAATAAATATACAGTGGGCCCTCTGTATCCACAAATGTGGAACCCGAGGGCTAAGGAGGGACCAGTGTGAGGGACTTGAGCATCCGCAGATTTTGGTATCCACCGGGGTGGTCCTGGAACCAATCCCTGTGGAAACACAGGGACAACTATATTAAACAGACTAATCAGGTAGGTAATCGTAACTATTTCAGGGGTTTAAAAATGGTAGCCTATAGGCCAAATAAATTGAGCTGTGTGTGGGTTTGTGTGTGCGCATGTGTGTGTTATATTAACTGCCAGCATTTTAAACAAGTTTTTCATAAAAACTTAAATTTCCAGCTTCTCTTGAAGAATCAGGGCATTCAGCAACACTCAGCCCTTATTTCCATGCAGCGAAAAATAAACTCTGGTGGACTAGCAGCTGCTTCTTTAGATGGAGCACATGTTTTCAAGTTTACCATTTCTTCTTTTTATGTACCTAGCTCTGAAGGCATTTGAAGTTCCAACCCCTGACCTATTTTTATTTAAAGATATCTACTGCTGGAGAAGATCAGCTGCCCAATATGCGTTCTGAAATGTGGCCCGAATTGCTTGCTACTCGGTGGATACTGACAAGCCAACAAAGAGACATGTTAGCACACTGGTCCATCAACCCCAAGGATTCTGGCTGAGATGCTAGAAGGATGGCATTGCTTTCGCTAAGGTGGGGAAGAGAGGGAAGAAGGTTTGGGATGTGTTAGGTCTGAGATGTCTTTTAGACATCCCAGAAGAAATGTTGACTATGCAGTTAGATAAATGAGCCTAGTGTTCAAGGGCAGGGCCTTGCCCGGTGATGTCAATTTTAAGAAGCATCACCATAATAGACATTTAAAGCCAGGGGATTTGCCAAGTTCACCGTGTGAATAAGTGTAGCCTGAAAAAAGAGAGACCTTAGACTGTCAGTTTTAAGAGGAAAGGAGGAAAGGAATAAAGAAGGAGAGGCCAGTGAGGACATTCTGTATTTAGATGACCTCTTCCTATAAAGGCTCTTGCCTACATTTAGGTGATTAGTTTAAGTCTGCTTTTAGATAGAGACCACACATAAATCTGCTATAGATGCTCCTAGGGGTCTATTACTTGTAAACGACAAAACAAATGCAGTTACAGGCAGTAAAAGAGATACTAAGCTATAAAAACACTGTAATCTTTTCAAATGAAAATATGGATAGATTATTATTCAAAGAAACCTTCTACAGAACTAAGTATTTCTAACAAAACAGAATCTTTTAAAGCAAAATAAAATAAAAGCACAAACATATACTTACTTCCAAAGATTTAAGAAATGGCAGTGACTCAATAAAGCTTTCATACATTTTTCTCTTTTTGGCATTATTTTTTACAATTATCCTCCTGAAGGTTACCCTGTCCTAAAGGCAGAATATCAAATACAAAGATAGTTAAAAGGTAGACTTTATGGAGAAAGAAAGTTTGAAGAAATAGTTTCATTTTATTCCCTGTAAGGAACAAACAATAATTGAAGATTCTGAAATAGAAAATTAACATTACTATCCTTCTAATATGACTCATTTCAGATTTTATTTCTTTAAGCAAAAATATAGAACCATATTCATGTTTTTTAAAGAAAGCAAGTTTACTTTTTATTCAGAACAGACATCTGACCAACATGTAACTGGCGGGCTACACCCACTAGGTGGCGCTGTCGCACCATTTAAAAAATATACCAGCTCCTTGCTCGTTTTCCACCCCCAGCTTTTTGAGATACAATTGACCTACAGAATATTGTGGAAGTTTAAGGTACACAACATGTTGATTTGATATATACTGTTAAATGATTACCACAGTAGGGTTAGTTAACACCTCTATCACCTCACATAATTACCACTTCTTTTTTGTGGTGACAACGTTTAAGATGTACTCTCTTAGCAGCTTCCAAGTATGCAACACAATATTGTTAACCATAATCATCATTTGTACACTGGATCCTCAGAACTTATTCATTTTATAACTGCACCGCCCCCCACCCCAGGCCCTGGCAACCACCATCTTACTCCGTTTCTATGAGTTCAAACTAGCACTGAGTTCTTTTGCTATAGATAACAGCCCTGGAGTGTTACAATTCGGTGGGACATGACTAGCATTGTTTTTGAGGTATAACTGGCATACGACATTATATTAGCTTCAGGCATACAACATAATGATTCAACATTTGTACATATTGTGAAATGATCACCACAATAAGTCTAGTTAACATCCGTCACCTCACATAGTTACAGAATTTTTTTTCTTATGATGAAAACTTTTAAGATATACTCACATAGCAACTTTCAAATATACAATACAGTATTATTAACTGTAGTCACCCTGCTGTACATTACATCCCCAGGATGTATTTATAACTGGAAATTTGTACCTTTTGACTCCCTTCACCCATGACCAGCATTTTTATAAAAAAAAAACAGAATAGGAAATCTGAGTGTGCACCCCTTTTAGTAAAGTGTTGAGTTATATATTTATTTCAGTTATACACAAAGGCACACACACACATGCACTGGTGGTGACATTTCCTATGTGCTTCTTGTGGGTTGCGGTAAAAAATACATGAAAACCAGTATTAGAAAATGGTTTTAAATCATGAAAGTACAATGTAAAGAGATGCTGAAAAATTATTGACTTTAGGGTTTCTGTCACCTTTTTAAAAAGGTGCACAGAAAAACTACAACTTTCTTGAGTAGATTCTGATTCCAGTGTTTATCATGCTCATCATTCTAAAATGTCCCTATGTTTATACTACTTAACCTCAAAGATACCACAATGAATTAAGGAACTAGAGAAAACTTTAAAGGTAGTGGCTCAAAAAATGGTTTTCCTACAAATTTTATATTTTAAAAATTCCTACAAAACGTTATTTTAGTTCTCAGTTAAGAGCCCCTAGAATTATGTTACTTCGGCATACACTGATAACTATACCATCTTAATATAAAATAAAATTAATTGGGATATGTTCTTTAATTAGTAAATTACTATGCCAACACATTAGGGCTCAATTTAAATGAACTCATACGATGGAGAAAAATACCAGTGAGGATGTAAGTCTCTAGGTAATTAAACATCCTGTTCTCCAATTTAGTTTACTACAATTTTAGAAGGGCTGTAATTTGGACTTGTACTCTTAATCATTTTTTTTAAAAGAGAAAAAATTTCAAGATAATTAGTAAAAATATTGAAATAATTTCCAAGTCTGGTTCTGCATCAGAATCAGCTGTTGTGTTTTTTTAAAAAAAGGTTTATTCTAACATCCCAGACTTTAATGACTCAAAATCTCTGCATATAGGACTCTACAATAATCTGTATTTCGTAAAAGCTCCCCGAGTGATTCAGATAAATAATCAGGTCCGGGAACCAGATGCAACACCATTTTATGAACAGAGTTTACTGCAAAACAGAGAAGACTAGAAATAGGTTAGCAATTTAGAAATTAACCGTAATGAGCTACACATCTCAGGAAAAATTTTCTATTAGTGGCCCACCTCTTCACACCCACTGTGACATATAAATAAAATCCACAAAGTCCCATTTCAAATGTTTTCATTCTAGTCATTTCAATCAATCATTGCCCCTCTGAATCACCAGCATGGTCTTATAGATCAGTTGATCCCCCAAGGCTAACAGTGACCTAGTCTTATTTACAAAGTTAAGACTATTCTACAAAGGACTTTTCTCTTGAGATTTGCTTATCTTTACACCTGCACTTATGTGGCAGAGCTCCAACCTGTTGGTCTTAAAAGCAAAATCTCTTTTCTACTCAGCTTTTGCTGAAAGGGGGTTAGTTAGGCGAGCTGCTAAGAAAGCAGGTTCGAAGTATTAATTGATTATATTATTATAATTTTTTAAAAACACCTACTGCACTTAGGCACATCCCCAAGGTGATCATCACAAACTGCCCACTTTCATAAAGCTTGAAACATGTACAGATTAGTAAAAAAATCTCTGAAAATGCTTAATCCTACCTGAGAACGTAAGTATCACACGCACTGGGAAATGGTGGGCCTTTGTCCCTAGTTTAAGGTACCTTCCAGGGCTGAGAACTTTCAGTATTCAAAGGGCCAACCCGCTAAGTGTGTGACCTTGTTCCAAGGACCTGCAGGGAGAAGCCTTCCTTACCATGTGACAGTCTGACCCTGGCTGGCAACCCTATCAGGATGATTAAATTTTAAATGATACCTTCCTTAATGAAAGAGATAGAGACCCGAGGCTGTGAGGGCAGGCAAATGCTTCCTAGGGGCCAAGTCCGCTCGGGTTTGGAGTGTTTATTTTGCTGGCTTTGGGTATTCCAGTCTTTGATAACCCTTAAGACACTTCAGCTCCCTTCTACCTGAAACAATTCCAATTTTGCTTCCACCACTTAAAAAGTGACTCATCACATTTTGAATAAGTAAACAGCAACTGCCTGGGTCTAATAAGAAGAAATGCACAATATGTCGTTTCTCTGATCAAGAGCTATTTTTATCAGTTGGATCCACGGCAGAGTCAAAGGCTGAGTGGTGACTGAATAATGTGTAACTTCTCTGAAGCTACAGTCCTTGGGAAGGAGATTGTTAGCAAACTTCCTGTTACTTCAACCTCGTCTCCTTCCACAAAAGGATTTGAGAGAAATAACCGAGTAAACGCATGTCAAAACTATAGGATGGGATGTTTTCAACAATTTTAAAAGGAAATACAAGTATTGACAACACTCCCTTTAAATCAGGGCTGTTTAAAGTGTGTTCTGGGCACCGGCAGCCACTGGTGTCTGCTGGGAGCTGGTGAGAAATGCAGAATCACAGGCCTCATCCCAGACCCGGTGAATCTGAATCTGCATTTTAACTGGATTCCCAGGTGATCCCTAAGCACCAGATTAAACACAGTCCAGAATCAGCTTGACCTGGGTCGGCTACTCTGCATCCTAAGATCATCTATGAAAAGAATCTCCCTCCCCCCCAACCCCAATTTTTTTTTTTTTTAATATTTATTTACTTGGCTGTGCCGGGTCTTAGTTGCGGCACATGGGATCTTCGTTGCAGCATGTGGGATCTTTAGTTGCGGCGTGCGGGGGTCTTTAGTTGCAGCATGCGAACTCTTAGTTGTGGCATGCAGCATCTGGTTCCCCGACCAGGGATTGAACCCGGGCCCTCTGCACTGGGAGCATGGAGTCTTGGCCACTGGACTGCCAGGGAAGTCCCCCAAATGTCTTTAAACCAACTTTTAAGTCTTGTAGAAACAGCACCATGAAGAAATTTTCTTTAAAAGCCCAGGTCTGAGAGTCCCAACCCTGAGAGTCTGATTAAGTTTGTCTGTGGTAGGGCCTAGGTAAGAGAATTTTCTTTTTTAACACCTCCAAGAAATTCCGATGTGCATCCACGTGAGAAGCACAGGCACCACGTATTTTTTCTCCACACGGCCGCTTGGCAACGCAAAGTTGTTACCAATCCATTTACACAGCGCGGAGAGACTCAGTTCACAGTGGTTTCTCAAGCAGGCGTGAGAATCACCCAGTGCGCTTGCTCAGATAAAGACTGCTGGGTCCTATCGCCAGAGTTTCTGAGTCGACGGGCCTGAATCAGTAAGTGGGGCGTCAATTTGCATTTCTAGCAAGTTCCCAGGTGATAGAGAGGCTACAGGTCAGGGGCCCACACTCTGGGAACCACAGATGATGATATTTACCACAGACAGCTATCTGAAAAAGAGCACTGAAGCCTTTGTGTGGCTGGTTGGTTTTTAAGAGTGAGTAGAAGAGGAACATTTTGGATCTGAGTGTCTTTCCCACAGCCAGTAGGTTAAACTCCTGACTCAATTTGGGAAAAGAACATGAAGATTTAACTCAGCACAGTCCTAGTGTCCAAGAGTTCAGCATCTAGTAGTTGCTTAATAAATTCCCTGATGACTGATGATGATCCCAAATAAATCTACCTATTAGAACTAAAATACTGTAGCCACCTGGCTTCTGTCATAATGATTTTTACAAATGACATTCAGGTCAAATAAATACTTCACTCACCAAGCCCCACAGAGCACTGGGAGAGGTAGCAGTGATTGTAGCTGCTCTGGGCGTATTGTACATTAAGGCCAGTTCGCCAAAACTCCCACGATTGTCATAGTTGCCAACACACCTTCCAACACCATCACATTTCACGTAGATATCAAATGTTCCTCTGTTGCACATGTGAAAAAGAAGACGTAAAAGTAATTCAAGTAAAATCTCATCACGATGAAACATGAGCCCTGGGAAATACAACCTCATTCTTTTTTTTAAAAAAAATCATTTATTGCTTAGTCTTATTGCTGGGACATCATAACACATTCACCCAGTTAAAATTTAAATGTCTAGAAGGGTGAATAGTGCCCTGGCCCAGCCATTCAGTTTCCTCCATTCAGATCTGCCACTGCCCCCAGCTTCTTCTACATCCTGGAAGAGGTCTTTACATCGGGGAGAAGCAGGAAGGAGCTGGCTGGGTGCACTGGGAGCCTTCCGCAGGCACAGTAAGGCAACAGGGGTCCTCCCTGAGATGTAGGACACACCCAAGGGTGGCAGCTGAGGATGGGCTCTTAGTTTCCTTTCCCCTCTAATGACAACAAGGAATAAAAGGGCATCAATATGTGAAAAAGACACCACCAGTTCCGGACAAGCAGGAAGAAGAGAGCATCCACGGGACGAGGGTAAGGCCCATCCATGTGTCTGTTGTCTCATCGTCTGGGGCAAATGAGACTAAACAACAAATATTTAAGGTATTGAAATAAATGATAAAAATATAACTAAGACTGCAACCAAATGCAATATGCCAAGACAACCACCTGAAGGAATGTGTGTGAGTCTGCTGACTGCAGTGACCTCTGAGTATAAGAATTGGGGAGGATTCTAGGGACATTCACTGTGTAATTAAAGAGTTTTCGTTTCTAAAATGAATATGTATTACTTTTGAGAGCAGAAGAATATAGCTCTAACAACCTGGTCAGACACTGCTGTACAGTACTTACAGGGTCCTTTATAATCTACAGGAGGGGCCGGCAAGCTGAGGCCCAAGACTGGCTGCCTGCTTCTGTAAATCAAGTTTTATTGGAAAGACAAACACACCGGCGGTTTCTGCATTCTCTGTAGCTGACTTGTGCTATGACAGCAGAGTTGAGTAGCTGCAACATAGACCTCATGGCCCAGAAAGCCTGCAAAATTTACGCTCTGGCTCTTTATACCATCTGGCCCTTCATGTTAGACTGACCCCACAATCTAAAAGTGGTAGAAATTCAGGCTAAATATCTGATCCTGTCTTTTTATAGTCTTTCTGTGCTTATCTTTTAATTGGGTTTCTTCTTCTAGGCAAGTACAACAGTCACTGCGCTGCATATTATCCAGACCCTATATTTCTGGAAACTGCATTCTTGTTGTGGAGAACTGGTTTTCCACGTACTGTATCTTATCAGAGAACACGGTTTCAAGGCTTGCTGAAACACCTGGGAGGGCAGACAGGAGAAATTCTTTGGCTTTATTTTGTTGGCTAAACTCTAGCAAAGACAAAACAGGGAGTGCTTTTAAGGTTAAGAAAGGATTATGAATAGTAAAGATACCACAAAAGCAAACACATAAGATATTAGAGACAAAAGATATTCATGAATAAGAATAACTGGTTTTTAATATAATTCACCGCTAGAATGGCTATTTCAGGGATACCCTCCAGAATTTGTTTCATGAATAGTTATTTTTTCAAGTACAGATTAATTTTTCTATTTATACTCTTTACACGTTTGCACGAAAACTGTTTTCTATGTTTTCTACTTTGAATAGGATAAAATACACAACAAACGTGTTGACGAGAAGTACAGTGAGCTACTAGTCCAGTTGAAATCTTATCAGTCTAAAAATCTGCTAAAATACCGTGTGCTGCATTTTCATATAGATTTCTCCCCTGAGAACATGAAGCCCTGGGCAGGGCAGAGCCACGAAAAGAGCACACACAGTGGCCAAGAGACCCAGATGCTGGGTCTGCTCCACACTCATCATCTGGGTGACCTTCGCTGACTCACATCACTTCTGTGGGCCTGAAAATTGTCATCTGTCGAAAGGGTGACGAGGATCTAACTGAAAAGGGAAGGTGCTATATACAAACGTAAGGCGTTTTTATAGTCAAAATACCTACTAAAAGAAAATTATTCCTGTACTACCTTTGGGGTTCGCATAGACCCCTACAATTCAATACGATTAAACAGCTGAGAGAATTTCTGAGGTGTTTCGTTGATGAAAGCTGTTAATGGTACAAGAATCATGACTTTAATTTATATGTGGGACAATTCTAAAATCATAGAGTCTAGCCCCAGCCCTGGCTAGTGCAGCTCTCCCGGGTCACCACGGACTTAGGGGTGAGGGACTGAGGGACTCAGAGAGCATGTGCTACTGATGCTTGAAAGGTACCACCCACAGAGCCCAGATCAGGGAACAAGTGCTAAGCAGACGGGGGGGGGGGGGGGGATTTTCTGCGGAGCCTCTGAGTAGAACACAACTTGGCCCAGAGAAGCAAATGTAATCCGACAAATCAGGCTGGGAGATGATTTGTGTTCCATGCAAACAGGGCAGGCGTTGGTGGTGGTGGTGGGGTGCTTGGGGAATCCAAACGTCTCATCAACACCTCATCACCATGTTACAGAAGTGCAGAAATGAAGACTCAGTCCAGGCTGCGCACCTTTTACATCTTAGGATTGTTACCTAAGTATTGCTAAAAGCACACTGTTCTTTTTTTTTATGTTATTTTAATTTTTTATAGCTGATTTTAATTTTATTTTTTGATACAGCAGGTTCTTATTAGTTTATACACATCAGAGTGTACATGTCAATCCCAATCTCCCAATTCATCCCCCGCAGCCACCCCGCTTTCCCCGCCTGTTGTCCATACGTTTGTTCTCTACATCTGAAAAGCACACTGCTCTTCGATGAAGTCAAGCACAACTTAAACTTTCTGAAATTAGATTTTCAATATAAATGCAGGCCTTCTCACTTAAATAACTTCTCTACAGAGTTTTTAACAGACAAATATGATAATGCATGAACAATTTCTGGAAAGACACGCAAATTACTCACTCTGCTGATTAGATGCTGCTAAAGCAGTAGGAAGAGAGACTAACCTTTCACCTTAGGCCCCTCTGAAATACCTGAATCTTTTAAACCATTAGCATGTTTTACTTCATTAAGTAATAACACAAGAAACTTTTTAGAAAACATAATAACAGATTGAGTTATATGGAGTCAATATCCCAGATGTTGTATTATGCTGCTATTCTCACAGTAACAGCCACCTCTAACTCTGTAACAGGCATCACTACCTCTCCATCAGAAGTTAACAAATGAGGAGGCTCCCCGTAAATGACAGATTTCTAGATTAACCAAAAGTCACCAGTCTTCCATGCACTATGTCTCTTTCCATGATGTAGCACGGTTTCACTGCATGGGTTCACTGTAGGTGTGTAGGGCCAGTTACACAGGAATAAGGGTAAGGAGGGAAGAGCAATTGTCGTACATTAATCTGTCAGGCGTTATAATAGCCACTGAGATTTCCACAAAAGGTTCATTACCTTTCAGCAGTGAAGTTACACAAAACTTACCTATCAATTACATAAAAGTTGTCGCCATCATCACCTTGATCAATTACATGTTCCCCTTCTTTGACCAATTTTTCAAACATGGCATCTAATACTTGAGACATCTGCTCCTATTTTTCAAAAAAGAAAAGACAATCTTGGTTTATCTAGAACATGTTTAGCTTTATATTTAAAGAACCATAATTAGCTTATACTTCTGTGAACAAGCTCAAAGAAATGGAAATATCATCACTGCCATTAAGTCTTGTCAAAAAAAAAATACACAGAGGGCTTCCCTGGTGGCGCAGTGGTTGAGAGTCTGCCTGCCGATGCAGGGGACGCGGGTTCGTGCCCCGGTCCGGAGGATCCCACATGCCGCAGAGCGGCTGGGCCCGTGGGCCGTGGCCACGGAGCCTGCGCGTCCGGAGCCTGTGCTCCGCAACGGGAGAGGCCCCAACCATGAGAGGCCCGCGTACGGCAAAAAAAAAAAAAAAAAAAAAAAAAACACAGAATAGTCCTCCTCACCACATACAAACCAGATGATTATATATTTACTCTCATATTCAGTACCTGAATAAAAGTAATTATAATTAGTCTATTTCAGAATATTTGCAACTATCACTACTTTAATATGAAAAATTAACCACCAAGCCATCATATACCTTGTGAAATATAACCTTAGCAACTAAAATGATCAAGTTAATAAAGAACTACTGCAAATGTCTTTTAAAGATACCTAAACTTTTAAAAAACTTCCCTATTTTAGTCATCACTAAAATTTATATAGAGATTACCTAAATATTTAGTGAATTTAAATCCTGACTCCAATCCTTCTTGGTGTAGCACTAAAAACAAAATAGAAACCAAACCAACAAAAGCAAAACCGAAAAAGATTGTAGCCAATATTCCACCACTATCTTTTGTCACCAAGGTTCTCTTCAAGAAGCAACCATATACCACCCTAGGACAGATTTATTAAAACTGAAGCCAGAAACATCAAACCTATCAGTCAACAACTATTTAAAAATTTTTATTCTGCTAAAGTGTGCTTGTCAAGGCTTAAGGATAAACCTTACCTAGTGAGAATAAACTAGGAGGCAAAAGAAATCTTTCCTCAGAACAAATACAGGAACAATTCAAAAACGTCTGAATAGTTAAAAACAAATGGATATGGAGAAACAGTATGGTGCACAGTAACAGGAAAGTCAGAAGTCATAAGAAGGCTTCAAGTAACTCCCAGGCCAAAATCAATTAGTATTATAAACAAATTAAGGAGCTGAAGACAGATTAGAGGGTGAAAAAGATGCAAGTAGAAAACACAGGTTGAAGAAACAAAATATTCTGGATCAGAGCATGAACAGACCATGTGTGATTCTCTTCTTTTTGAGACGCCATTAACATTTCACAGAGACTATCAAGGTACGACTCCACAACCATGAGAATGGGAAGGGGAAACTGGAGGGGAGATTTCTAGAGCAAAGGGAAGTTAAATGGGGGCAGAGAGAGCATGCAGCCCAGAGAAGGGCAGGTGGGCCTGCAGTGCGGAGGGACTGACCACCTATCAGAGCTCCAGAGGCTCCAGACTGGGAAACACCCGGTCCGGTCAGAACGGGACTGAGACACAGCTGAAACAGGTAGACCGATTCAAAATCCTCCACGATCCGTTGATACCTTCCTTCCAAATGCCTCAACCCTGAACACAGAACACCTGGCAACCAAATATTAACCCCAATTCTTCCCAGACAAAAAATCAGAGTCAGGTTCTTGGGAGAAACTAAATAAATAAGAGAGAACTAGAACAGCTACTGTGAAGATTGGTGCCCTGGAACAAGGACCTTCACTTGCTGGGATGAGGGGTTCCCCCATGTTAACAGCTGGCCCCCTGTCACTCAACCAGCAGGACACTGGTGGACAGCCCTGGCATGCTTACTCAGGGCTCCACATCAGCTTTCCGTGGCCCCTCTGGGAGCCTACAAGACTAAGATAAACAGCAGTGTGACACCAAATGAGCTAGAAAATTCAACAACAGTGATGAGCTTTCAGCAAGTTCTACTTTGTATACCCAGAGATATTCACACAATGTTATATCCATGAGATGAAAAACAGGCTATTTAGAAAAAGAGCCAATCAGAGAAAAATGGGTAAGTTGAAAACTGAAAACATGATTACCACATTTTTTTCTGCCTTTTAAATATTTGATTTTTGAGAGCAGTTTTAGGTTCACAGCAAAATGGAGCGAAAAGCATAAAGAGTTCCATAAACCCCCTGCCTCCACCCAGCCTCTCCCCTACTGTCAACATCCCCACCAGCAGGTACATTTATTACAAGTGATGAACCTACACCGCCATCATTATCACACAAAGTCCACAGCTGACATCTGGGTTCACCCTTGGTGCGGTGCTGTACACCTGGTGCGTTTTGACAAATGTGTGACATGTACCCCCCATTACAGAATTTTCTCGTAAAAGAACTAAGAAGGTAAATTAAAATAAAAACTTCAAAGAAAGGCGACAGATGAAAAGACAGAAGCTCCAGACAAAGTGATATTAGAGATAACAAAGGGGAGAAAATCATCAAAGAAATACGCAATGAATTTTCCAGAACCACAGGATGTAAGTTTTCAGACTGAAAGGGCTCACTCAAGGGCCCGGCACAATCAAGGACCAGAACCTCCACACACACACAACAGTGTGGTTTTAGAACATCAAAGATACAGATCTGACCTGCAAAGCTTCCAGAAAAGGGGGAAGGGGCTCTTAAAAACATAAAAAGATGTTCAACTTCTTTCAAAATAAAGAGGAATGCAAATCAAAATTGAAAGGAGATACCCTTTTTCACCTGCCAGATTCAGAAACATAAAAATGTTAGACTAACACACTGGTGGAGATGGTGTGGGAAGGAGGGTTCCTCCGGCAGACGGCTGATGGGAACGGGTCTCAGAGGGCGCACTGTCAACAGTCGGTATCATTTCAAACACGCTACCCGTCACCTCACTATTCCTTGTCTAGGAAGTTATTCTATAACACATTTGTGAAATGACATGTGCATGGGCATTTTTCACTGCAAAATGTGCATTGTAATAGCAAAGAATTGAAAACTCAAGTTTATCTACAGGTCTCTGGATAAATAAGTTTGATACATCCATGCACTGGAAAGCTATGCAGCTATTAAAAAAAAAAAGTATGGATTTTGAGACCCCTATCTTTTACTGGAGTTGCTGACAAGCACGAGAACACTCAAAGAAGGGCAATCAGGAAATCTGAAACCCTGATGTAGGAGGAACTTCAGCGAACACATGCTATCTGCAGCCACAATGATGTCGTCGGTGATTCCAGAGGCCAGGACTGGGACTGCTGGGTGGAAGTTTCTGGAGATTTTGGAACAATGTTAAGACCTGTCTAAGAAGGACAGCTCTCTAGCAGTGACAGGGCAAAGAGATGAGCTCCCTGTTCCTGTCAAGACAGGCTCACCACCTTCCACATGCTGTCAAAAGGGCTCAGTGGTTTTCAAACTGTTTTCTGGAAGCCAGGGATTTTGAGGAGATGCTTCAGTGATCGATTCTGTAAACAGCTGATTTTTTTAAACCATTTTTTAGGATTGAAGTACAGTTAATTTACAATGTTGTGTTAGTTTCAGGTGTACAGCAAACTGATACACTTATACACATACATTTCAGATTTTTTTCCCCTTATAGGTAATTACAAGATATTGAATATAGTTCCCTGTGCTATATAGTAGGTCCTTGTTGATTATCTATTTTATATATAGTAGTGTGTATATGTTAATCCCAAACTCATCCTTAAAGTGTGTTCTAACCACTAAATATTAAAACTAAAGTAAATCAACATGTTCGGATGGATTACATATACATTTTTTATGAAGTAAAATTTCATGTCACATTAAAATTAACCATTTTAAAGTGGACTAGTGGCCACAAAGTTGTGCAACCACCACCTGTACCTACTTTCAAAACGTTGCCGCAAAAGGAAACCGTGCGCCCGTTAAGCAGTCATTCCCCATTCTCCCCCCCACTAGGCCCTGGCAGCCACCAATGTGTTTTCTGTCTCTGTGCATTTACCTATTCTGGATATTTCATATAATGGAATCACACAATACATGATCTTTTGTGTCTGGCTTACTTCACTCATTATAATGTTTTCAAGGTTCACCTATGTTATAGCATATATCATACTTCATTCCTTTTTACGGATGAATAATATTCCACTATATATATATACGAACACACACCACAACTTACTTACCCATTCACCTGTCGATGGACACTTGGGTTCTTTCCACCTTTTGGCTATTGTGAATAGTGAGACTATGAACATTCATATACAAGTATTTATTGGCACACCTGTTTCAATTCTTTTGGACCTACACCTGGGAGTGAAATTGCTGAGTCATATGGTAATTCTATGTTTAACTTTTTGAGAAACGGCCAGGCTGTTTTCCACAGTGCTTGGGCCATTTTACTTTACCACCAGCGATGTACCAGGTTCCGATTTCTCCACATCCTTGCCAACACCTGTTATTTTCCTTTTTAAAAAAACGATACCCATCCTAGTGGGGGTGAAGTGGTATTTCACTGTGGTTCTGACTTGTATTTCCCTAGTGACTAACCAGGCTGAGAATCTTTTCATGTGCTTATTGGTTATCTGTATATCTTCTCTAGAGAAATGTCTATTATTCAAGAACTCTGCACATTTTAAAGTTGGGTTGTCTGTCCTTTTGTGGTTGAGTTCTAAGTGTTCTTTCTATATTCTGAATACGAGGCCCTTCTATAAAGCTCTTCTAAGAGTTTTATAGTTTTACAGCTTACATTTAGGTCTTTGATCCATTTTGAGTTAATTCTTGTACTTGGTGTGAAGTAGGAGTCCAACCTTGTTCTTTTGTGTGTGGATACCCAGTTGACCCAGCACCATTTATTGAAAAGACTATTCTTTCCCCAGTGAATGATCTTGGCATTTTTGTTGAAATCAAATGGCCATAGATGTATGGGTTTGTTTCTCGACTCTCAACGCTATTCCATTGTTCTGTATGTCTATCCCTATGCCAGTAACACACTGGTTTTTTTTTTTTTTTTTTTGCGGTGCGTGGCCCTCTCACTGCTGTGGCCTCTCCCGTG